GAGGCGACTAAAAGTCGCTATTTGATGTGCTGTACGAAATTATAAAATACAATATTCAATTTTACATTTTATATTGTATAATTAGACACAACATATTGAAATAAAATAGTTTTAACCACCGTTTCGTATATTATTTTTATAGACTATATATATTGCATAATATATTTTGTATATAATATATATTATCTTAATATATATTTCATTATTTCACTCAGTATTTCACTAGAAAATAATGAATATATGTAACGAAAAATCTTTCGTGTGGAAAGGGTTAATACACTATCTAACTAACACTAGGTTTACGGAACGCGTCAATCTGACATATATTAAATTTTACAAACTAATTAAGTTCTCTAAGGCCAATCAAACAAACTGTACAATAAATCTCCGGAAACCTAGTGTAAACAAGCATTATAAAGACAATATAACTGTAAACCATTTTCCGAAATTAAGTAATCAATGCAACATTTTTAAACGCCGTAATCGTTGGGTAACTTAAAAATGCTGATACGCGAACAAACGAATGGCTACCACAGGCACGGTGATCAACAAACTTTCCGGTCCGTAATGTGTTAAGAACCGATGACACCGTGGTACAAAATCGACTTCGTAAACATGTCACCCCAAGGACAGCGATCGCATGTAAAATCGTGGCCGTTATTCCATCGCTAATGAGGATATCCACCTCTTGTTTACGAGCGTGGAACGCGTCGTTATGTATCGGGGGGCCTCGTGCACCGACTACGCTAATTACCAGGATTGGCTCACGCGCGCACACGAATCGACTTTCAGCCTCGGAATTAAATATTTTCGTCAAACACGTGCACTTACGTCGCGCCATATGTCTGCCAACGATCTCCGTTGACCACTGATCGGGGGATCGAGCTATCGGCGTCTACCCTCGGATGAGAAAATCGGGGTTATGGTCGCCTCATTAGGTAATCGGGGATCTTCGTCTTTATTTCTTATATGTTATGGTGTTACTCAAATAACCATCATAAATGGCGCTTACCGGAGGTGATTAATGACGGCTGCGATCGTGACGAAGCTTAGGTAAGTACTCCCGTTCTCAACCCCCTGCTTTGTAATCTCATGTCGGACTCGTGATGAATATTTCAAGCAGAACTTAAGCCTTTGCACTACAAAAGTATTTCACTAGAAGTATTCAACAGTTTTCGAGGAGATAGGGACAATATTTTCTAAAAGCCACTTAACGAGAAATCATAGGTAACTTAATACGTTGACTACCATGAAAATACCAGCATTTTACCTATTACTTATTCCTTTGTAGCAGAGATAAAATGGAACAATTATTAATTATTTGCTACCACAATTCATACGTTACACTGTTATCTAGTTATTTACGCTATGAAACATTCTTATTCGACGTCAGTTGTCTTGTAAATTATAATTGTTTTTAAGTAATTTCGAAGCTTTTTTAGTAATTCACATATTGATGCATTGTATACAATTTAATATTAGAAACTAAATTTTATTATTTTGTATGTATTAAATCAAGGGACTGTTGAGAGTGGCCATTGGTGTGTAAAGGATTAACAAATATACATATTACTCGATTCTTTGGAATTTAAATTGAATATTATTCTGTTATCGGTTTTTATAGGTATTTTAGTGCAAACGTGGACACAGAATTTGCCTAGGATTTTTCTTTTTTTCGATAAATTATTAATGACAAAGTAATGGTATCAAGCACGTTTGAGAAAGAAATTATAGGTCAAGAGGTTAAGTTATTGGATACTTAATCCCTTAAGTGGTCTTTCCAGTGTAACAGATGGAAAACATCAAAATTCTTTTTCTTTGCATTTTTTTATAGTTTAAAATGGTAAAAATACAATTCCGAAAGGATTAAACCGAATTCGAAAAATGAATAAAAGTGATAAGGTTAAAAATATAATGGTGTCAAGTGTAACGCTGCACACGATATTTTCGGAATCAGTTATCCGAGTCATCTCAAATTTAGCAGATATGTTCATAATTATTAAGTCATACTTTTTTTTTATTGTACAGAAACTGTAAATCTTATTACACGTTAGGAGAAACTTCAGCGTTTTTTTCATTAATCTTGTTCGTTCTATTTAGGATTACCACATGAAGCAATCACTGCCATCTGATCGTAAATCGTTTGAATACTTTTCTGTTATTCGTGTTTTAAACCCTTCGATAATCTCCTCTGGAAGTTCGATTAATAATCGATTAATTGATACTTCTAATTTTTTATTTCGTCAGTAGTAATATTTTTTTACTACAATTAAAGAAGTTCATTACGGAGTGTGTTTATAAGCCTGGTCATAATGTTTACCACCAATATAAAATCGATATAGTAATAATTACCTATTTTTATGACAGTTAGAATAGCATTTTTTATAAAAACATATATTTCTATTAAAAATGATAAGTTACATATCGTATATTATAAAAATGAATGTACGTTTCCCAAAAGATCTTTATTTGAGTCTTTATTTGAATCTTTCGCTCGCAATGTCATTCGATTCGTGTTCAGTGACGCAATAAATTCATACACCGCGCACACACAAATGAAAATACGGCGGATTCAATGAGGTGGGACAAACAAGCCAGCGGTTTCCGTTTCCGCAAAAACATCGGAAACGGTTTACGTGTTTTACAGTTTTCCATGCGGTTATTAAGAAATGTCTGGTAAGTCCAGTAGCCAGCGAGCGTTTAAAAGCGAACGAAAACCGGAAAGCCGAATGAAACAGAATTCCAGGTAATAGGTAAAATGTCAAGCGAATTGGAAAACGAGATAGAAATGGCGACAAGCGCATTCAGAATTTTATGCACGCTTGACCGGCGATGATTAATCAAGCTTTCAATTTCACTTTTAATGCGATCCGCCGTTTGGTCGGCGAAACACATTTTTATCGCCGTTTCTATTTCTGTTCCCTTTTTTTTCTAAAGGTGGTTCGCGAAAGTTGGAGATTACATAAATATTCACAATCTGGTAATAAGTACTGGCACCGTTCACGCTGTCTGACGAAATAGAGATAAATTATTGACTAATTAGTACTTTCCTTTTTTTATGTGCATTTAGGAGATTAATGATTTTAACCTTTTGCACTCGAAAGACGACTGTCAGACGTCATTTAAATCAACACAACAAAATTATGACTACAAAGTTAATACCCAATTTTTGATAAGGTAGCAAATTATGAAACATAGAAGTAAAATAGTTTTGTCCTTTAGTTTATGAAAAATTTAACTTTATGTTAATTACAAACGATATAATTGATATTTAATTTGAAATAATGAATATTTGTACTGAAAAATATTGTCAAGTGCAATGGGTTAAATATTTTGGACTTCTTTTTTAATGTATGTGGAAAAGTACATATTTTAAATGAATTTAGGGTCAAGTTACTTTATTCAATGTAAGTAAGGGGGGATTTTAATGAGATATGAAGGGTTAAGGAATCATATGAGAACTTTGAAAATTCCACTATTTGAAGATTAATATTTCATGTGTTTGCAAGATTAACACGTTAAACCCTGAATTTTCCAAATTATAAAAGGTAAATTTAACAGTTTTCTTGCTACACAATTAAGTAAAAAGTTATAAATATCCTTTTCATTGCTGTAATATGAATTTTGATACTTATCTGAACTTTTTCCCGCCAGTAGTCTGATTATCTGGAGGTTTAATGTAACAAAATATAAATATGTTTTCGACATACTTGTGTCTCTTGCGAAAGTGACGTGTCACGGAAATATGATTCACTTGGATGTATACCACTGGAAACGATTATATTATACTAATTCCATCGAAAATTTAATAACATCGTATAAAAAGAATATTATTTCTACGTTACAACAACAGAAAGCTATTCTATTGCTTATTTTTGTATATTTAATGACATTCTAATTAAAAGTATTTTACTGGGTCATCAAAATTATCATTTACTGGTATCCACAGAATATTAACAAAGAAATAATACTGCGTACTAAATGTACAAAATAAACTAATGAATTGAATGAAAAAAATATATAAACACTGTCTTGTAATCATTTTTCGTGTATGACTCCACTGGACTCTGCCAGTCTTTCACATTATTTATTATTATTTATTATTTGTTTAACCGTTGCAAAGCCGGAGATTTTAGTGACTGTACAGACCACCGCAGCTGGGTCCACGTGGACCCCTAACCAGGCCTTACTTACACAATCATTTCGAATTTACACTTTATTAGTTTATCGCCCGTTTCACTGCTAAGAAATGTTAACTTTTCGCGGTCGTAAGACGAACTATGCTCGATAGAATACTTTCACTCTTCTGATTGTATAAAATGGAAACAATTAATATATGAAATTATAAATTACAAATAAAAATTAAAGAAATAAAATATTTATTATTAAAATAATGTATCTAATCTATTACTCTATTACTGTATTAAATTTCTCTAAAATAAAAAACAAATCGTGAACTTCATTTATACATAAAACTAATACGACCGCAAAGGAAGCAACTGAACAATGCAAAACTTGTAAAATGAATATTAGTTATCAGTGCAAGCTCCCAACGCGCTAGAGTCACTCCCAGTTGCGGTACAGCTGAGGTTAAAGGTTAACAGAGGATACCACCTAGAGGCATCCTAAATACAGGTGAACATTATAAATCTTTTTGTCAATAACTATTGAGCGAAAACTTCTAATTTTTTCTGGATGTATAACTGTAACCTTTTGATTTACATTTATATTTCTTCTAAGCCAAAATGTTACAAAATTGCGGAGTTATTCGCTAGCTTCGGAACTCCTTTTCGCGAAACATTCATTACGGATGCATTACAGATTCAGAAAAAATCAGGAATTTTCACGTGACAATTATTAACAAAAAAATCCCTAAAGTTTACCTATATTTAAGACGTTTCTAGGTGGTGTCCGCCCTTAAATCAAATCCCGTGAAAGCCGTAAACAGCCAGCTTAAAGAAAGACAAATGACCAAGCACAGCAGCTTCCAGTTGACTTACAAACGCTGCCCGAGTCGCTCTCCTCCCTCCCGCTCAAGTCCAAATGATTCTTCTTCTTGCGACGCATGATAGAGTTCCACACCTTTTTACGGCTCATCGTGAAACACTGGTCGCCAATCGCGCCGCTCACCTTGTCACCTTTCAGATCAACGCTATTTCGTCCAGAGCACGCGGTTCCGTGCTGGCTACCGATATTTGCGAACTCGCGGCTGAATCGCGCGTTGTCGCCCACTGATGGCCCGAGAAAGTAGGTTAATCGACTCTTCCTCACCGATAAACCATTCGTTATCGGAGCGCCATTATCGAATAACAATTAGCGGCTCGTTGGAAGACCGGCGAACGACCGATTCCGGTCGCCGTCGGCGGAACACACGCTTTCGCGATACGCCTCGCGAGTCATTGATGCATTAACCCTTTCACAGAGAGACGATTAGGGTGCTGGAGCCGTTTAACTTGGAGATAAGTTTATTTGCGACTGAAATTTAGTGCTAGCTGCTTTCTTTGGCACCTGATTGTTGGACCTGTTACATTCTGTTCGATGCGGAAGGTCGATCTTTTTTTTAGCAAAAGTGGTAATGTCAATAGTACCAAGCAAAATATTATATTTACCGGATGGGAATTTTTAAAGACTTTCGTGAAACTGATAATGTTTTCTTAATGTTGTTACTTGAAAGAGTTGGAGTGTAATTTTTAATCTTAGCGTTCTGTTTGTGTAGAAGATATATTTATCTGTTTCCTATGAAATTGTGTTGAAACGTATTATAACGCTTAAAGTAATTTGCGGAATATAGGCTTAATTCGTTAAATTTGAATACGCTAATTTTGATCTGAATAACGAACCGATTCCTAAGTAACTGTCCATTGAAGATGGAAATATTCGTACCAATTAAATCGGGTTTGTATAAACTTTTATAAAACTCCCAATTCTTATATGACCAATAAGTCACCCTCTTCCTGGTAATTCACTTATTTCACAAAAAAAGTCTGACCTAACCTTGAATTCTCAAACACACACAACAATAGTGTATCCAAATCAGCAAACATCAGTCGCGTCTCATCACATGCCACATGAAACAAACCACAGTCCAACTGCCTACGAGAATACACTAAACGCGGCGGAAATACGCACCCTCCTCATCCTATAATCCAACTGTGAAAGGGTTAATCGCGAGCACATCGTAGAACATTCGAAAAAACCTTCCCGATCCTCTTGCGCATCTGTAAAACGAACTGAACAAAACCAGTAAATCGATCTCCGAATCGATCAGCACTGCGCGGCGAACGGAATCTCCAAGCAAGTATGCGTCTCACGGTGTCCCGGCGCAATTACGCGATCGTCGTAGTCGCGACAGCTCCATAATTAGTCCGCGGCTCGCCTTGGACCGGGGTTTTGTCGTTCAACTGAAGTCGGGCGTGTAAACGGCCGCGCAAAGAGCTGCGAGAGGAAGTCTGCAGACACTTGGTTGACACGGGCGCAGCGTGACGCGGGAACGGCCGCTGGCTCCCGTTTCGCAGCCGCAAAAACCAATGACCTAGCACACTTACTGACTTTTATCCAGCCCGATTTCGCAAGCGGCGCGATCGCCCGGCCGGTTCGGTCGACGGACACGACGCGAACGCACTTATATCGTTTGTACGGGCAGACTGGAGGACTTTTATCGCATCCGGCGCCGAGGACTCTTCCGAAGAGGAACAGAGCCACGGCTTCAAACTTGCGCGCCAATCGGCGACCGACGAATTGAGGCCGGTGGGGGGGCATCGCGGAAAATCGAGCGAAACGGTTCTTTGATTTTACTGCCGCGGAAAAGTCTGTTCCGTCCTTTAGCCACGAGAGAATGGAGCTGGGAAACGCGATCGTCGGTTACTAGGAACTTTCGCGCGGGAATTGGTGATGAGATGAGGTTTGAGATTGACTGTGAAGTTTGTTTACGAGATAATTGTAATTTCTAGAGAACTGTTTAAAGTTGAAGACGAATGTGATAAATAATAATGGTTCTTTTAATTGTTGCTTAGAACATGTTTCACTTGAATATAAGATCGTTATGTTAGAGGGAGAACCTGCTTCGATGTGTTATACTTTAATATTGTTAAAATTGGTCGAGTTTGAAGTATGTATATAAAATAGTTTAAGTATTAGATAAAATCAACATAAAAAAGTGTGTTAATAGCAATAATAAACTGATGTAACTTACTAATAGATTGATTAAGCGAAAGTCACAGTGGACGGAACCTATACAAGCATTTTAAGCATAATCTACGGTTTTATCTTTTTCATACTTCATATAATATACGTAAAAAAATCTTCAAGAATTTATTTTCGTTAGAATTATTAATAGTTTGTAAGATCTAAGAATGTTGAATCCATAGTAAAATAAAAAATGTGATTGAAGGAGATGTGAGTTTCACATTGTTTTCATTTCGACGAAGCTTCTCATTTCTTGTTCTTATTTTCATAGATAAGGTAAGCTCCATATCATAAGCCATTTTTTTCGCTATTTTTGTATTTATTTACATTTTTTACCGTGATTTGAAGGTATTTAAATTTTTGCACGCTTATCGGTCAGTGTATCAATGTTTATTAATTCCTTCATGTTTCAACGCAGGTTTCATTGGAAAAACTGCATATCTCTCGTTTTGGCAAACTTTGCAAATCAGGTGTTCCATATTAGGTGTTATTGCCCTATTCTATAATCTGTATAAGACGAGTAAGTATTTTAGTTAATCGAAAAATTACGAAAAGATAATTTATGTGAAAGTTATTTTATCGAATTTAAAGAATTCAACGCGTTAATTGAATTTGGTTATGATCTAGATCAATTAGTTTTTATGATAACTGAACTACTTTCTATTCCTAACCACAGGAAAGGTACAGAAATTAGTTAATATAGTTATACGGCGGCGATTGCAAAATCGCTTTCTTCACTTCTAGTAATTAGCATACAGTATAGACAACAATATTAACATAAGCGGTCCCGATCGTAATCAACACGCCCGGGAAGCGAGGGAAATCCGTCGAACTCATCGTGTCATTTTCTCCTGTTACGACTACAAATTATCCCGACACAACCAATTACAAGCAACATTCTATTTATGTATTAATGATATTCATAAATATTGAGACCACTTTCACGTTAACGACACTTACTTCCTTGCCAAGAGACTCGCCGGAGAAACTCGCGTAAAACGAAAACAAACTCGAAGACTTTGACTCTATCATCGAATAATCATTTGTCAGTAAACATATTAATTTGTTAATTTTTGTACGTTTATTATAATATACCATTTATTCTATACTATTATTACTATTTATTAACTCTCTATAGACCCATGTGAAGTTAAAGTCATGCGTCACTATACTGGGTTAAATTGATTTATTTGATTTTTTACTGCAAAATGAGGAATAAAATTAACTAATTATTTAATTTAAACTTTTATACACGCAGACTTAAACGTTCAACGTCACTGTAGTTTCAAACTTACAAAATATATTCGTTTTAATAAAATTATTAACTATTGAATACCTTGTTAATTTGCATTCATGGGTTAATATTTGTTAATTTCATACTGTATAAATTTTGTTATATTCACGAACAAAAATTCGGCCCATAGAGGGTTAATTGTTATTTGACTATTAGTATCTATGTTTCAAATTGTTGGATTGCCGTCTGGAGTCTATTCTGACTCAAAATTTCAAAAACGTCATTCAATTTTTCACTTTCGTATAGTTCAATCAAATTACCAGTGACTATGTTAGAGTTAATGAAACGATCAATATTTATCTTGTACAAGTACATTGAAAATCGTATGTAGAAAAAATGGTAAAAGTTTAAATGGTTGCATGCAGCGTCATCTACGAGGTTATGCAGAATGTCACTCCTCCACGGGTTATAGCCCTCTAAACCAAAAATATAATTTCTAACTGATGTTTAATTAATAAATTTCACCATGAATTAATAATTTGCTTACTACGAAGCCTTTAATGATTAGTCATTAACTATTAAAAGGCTATTAAACAACCGCTGGTAGCCTATAATATTAACCAGTTGACTACCACTGCCTGACCTATATCACAATGAACACATCGATACAATTATAACGAATACCATTTGCGCGTAGCTATGGAACGTTCTATACATAAAACGCTTTCCACTCGATTCAACGAACGCCAAATTCTCTCTTCGACAAATAATAAATAAATTAATTTGAGAAAATACACTACTGCTCTGAAATCTCACTTCGCACTCACTTCACCACAACCACGAGAGACTCAACAATTTCGAAAAATTCGCGTTTCTGTAAGAGGAATCAGATCTAAATGCTTCAAAAGTAAATCAATGGATCGCGGGTTTTTCCAAGATGCGGCGGCAAAACGCGTGACCTTGAGGTACCGTTGCGATTAAATGCGAATGGCTGTCGGAGGCAGACTGTCTTCGACAGTGCATCTACGTCTTGGAACTGGTAGAGGATATGCGGTTGTCGGTGACGATAAGTGCCCCGCCTCGCAGGAAGTTGTTCTTCCAAAATAAACGAGTGGATTAAACTGCCCGTGAAACGATGATTTCGAATCACTATCTTTCAGATGCCTATTGGATGATTGATCGTGGTTCGAGCCAGCGAAAAACTGACAGAGAAATGTTTCTTCTCGATCTTGAAGCTTAAGATAACGTATCCTCTTTTGTTTTCGTGCATTGTGATCGTTGGCTTCGAAGAAATTATTTCTTGTGCAACATTAAGTCAGAAAGAAAATTTTCTTTTGTTTTATTTTTGAACTGTATTCGTAACATTTGTAGATTTATAGACTCGCTTTTAATTTTTTATTACCACTAGACAAGTATATTTGTTGAAATCTCAATTAACTGTAGTGCTAATGAGCGAGTTTATTTTATGGCTTTCAACAAAAAGTGTTTCGCAATATTAATAATTATTAAATGAAAAAATTGAAATGGGCTATATTAACATGATTGGTAGTACTATAAAGTTTATAAAGTGATACGATCAAATATTATAGATAATTGGATAGGTGCTCTGAAAAATGGCGGAGACGTATTAAACAAAATTGCTGATGTAACATTAATGAGTTTTACTTCGATACAGTGAATATTCGCATTAAATCTGTTCGGAAAGACCGACAGCACTCTCTGTTCAACCGAATGTGTTAGTCAATTATGCAACAGTTTAATCGAAAGTAAGTATGATTATGTAGAACTTACAGATTCGCTGTGTTAAACCTTATCCTCAATTTGTCACCAGTCATTAGATACGCTTCGCATCGCGTATTTTCTGCGCGTAGTGTGTTTTAGAATGGAGGAAGTCACTATGAATCTTTTACTGGGTTTGCTGTAGCTGGTAGAACTAGAAATAGAGATACGATCGAACATGTCGCAAATAGGTTCGGAAGGTGGTAGAATTTTTATTGATTGCCGCGAAGTAAAATTTTTATTTTCTAAATTAAGAATGGAGAATACTGATAATACAGTAATAATGATAAAATAATATTAATATAATTTTTGCCTACATAGAATGTGTTAAAGATATAAAACAGATTTTTAAACAAGATTACTGGGATCAAAATCATTCTCGAAAAAGTAGAAAGATATCAAAACTCCGTTAACACGTTTCGTGCCACGGAAACTTCGGTTGTATTTTGCTTATGAACTGTATTGATTTTTTCAATAAAATAATAAATTATATTCAGATTTTTGGCCATTTTTATGTATTTTGATATCGTTTCTTTATGTTTTCACTGCTTTATAACGTATACCGCTATCCATAACCATGTATCTATTAAAAATATTTCCTTACAAAAATTCGTGTGTACCATATGTGGTACACGTGGCACGGAGCATGTTAAGAAAACACGTATCAAGGAAAAAATGAATATATGACGCATATTATACCGCAGTAATCCACATCCTGTGAAAGGAAAATCGCGGATAGTTCCTTTTATAATTTTCTGCTTGAAGATCGTTCGTTTCTTGGCCTTAATCGAATAATTATTTCATCACTGACCAAGTTTTTTCCAATTTATATGAAACAAGGTTTGCTCAAGACAAGTATATGTCAATAACAAAAATCCTCGGACAGTAAGGACTTCAATTATCGCTGGAGTTACTATATATTTTATGCTAACCCGATAATTTGTTCTTCTTGTGAATTTTGAAAATTCTATTCTAATAGTTACCAATCATTAAAAGTAATAACTGATAGTAATGAATAATTTTAACGTGACAATTAATAGGTGAACAGTAATTACCAGTTAGTAATTATTAAAAATAAATACTAAAAAGAAATACTAAACTATTAAAATATCAAACTACCAAACTACCAAACTACCAAACTACCAAAATACCAAAATACCAAAACACTAAAAACAAATAACGAGTAACAGAAAATGACCAAGCAACAACACTAAAGACATTTACGAATTTGGTGACGGTAGCATCGATACATCGGATCACCCGTTAAATTTTCGATATTTATATCGGTAAGTGTGACAAGTTGGTAAGTGTTAAACGAGGTTTACAAAGTCCCGTCTCTCCAACGTAACTCATTAATTCAGACGAGCGACGGCACTTCACACGGGTAAATACGGTGCACGATCTTTTCCACGTTACGGGAGAGTAGCGGCTCTACAATTAGCGTGGTTCGCTGGCAGCGTAAAATTGCACCTGGCAAACAATAGGGAAATTAGGGTCGCCTAGTGTAAACCAGGCACGGTAATGCGTCGCGGAGGACTTAATTCTTCCGACGTATCAAGAGCAGACTAGAAAGTGCTTTCGAATGTAACTCAGAGTTAACCGAATATCTACTTGATAATGAACATTCACGGATGTTCTACGTATCTGATACAGTTGCTCGAAAACAAACGAAAAGAAAAAGAGGATCATTTCCTTTCCATGGAATTCATATTAATGATATATTCATTAATTCGTACTCATTCATATTAATCCTTGAAAGCTACCGCCAACGAAAACCACGTTAATGCTACCATCGTTATATTTACAGCGAAAAACGTGGGAGAAGTGAGACGTGCTTTATAATAACATTATCAGCCGTTATGTCGTTCGATAACATTAATTACTTTGTGTTTATGATTATTTATAATTTACGATCAATGTCGTAATGAATGTATAATTTATTTTCGTACTGGGAAATTATTAAGCACCTCTTATATTCGCGGTCAGCAAATTGGAAGCTAAGGAGTTATTTTTAAAATTTGTTCAGTCGACTTAGATCAAATTATAGAGAAATTAAGTTAAAGAACTAAATAGAAAGGGCACAACATTTTTTCGTTCGATTTGAACAAATTTGATCTCTATGATGATTAGATTTGTAAGAGAAGTATTATGTAGAGAATATATTTTATTATAGATACGCTGCTAAACTGGTTTCTATTGTATTGTATATCC